AATACAGGTGCCGACCCTCGATCAAAATACGAGCTAGAAAAAGTCAAATGCTGTATTAGATGCCGAGGGGCTTCGATCTACCAGCTGACTATCTATCTCTATACGTTATTATCTACCAAGCGAGCTCCCTCATGTGAGACTCTACTACATTATAGTCTTGAATTCCATTCAACTCGTCCTAGACAAGCTGATCGACATCGCTCTTCTCATGTAGAGGAAGGACCAACTTTCACCCCGGCGGACCAACGGCGTAGGCACCCGGTTCTTCCATCCCACTCTAACTCATCGACTGTTCATGTTGTAGCTCGGTAGACGCTCATCTCCCGGCAGCTCCCAGACCGCCTTGATCTGGCTCTGACTCGACAGTTCTGCATATGACTCCTCGGTAGATAGTTCGGCTTTATCGTTGAATTCTGCCACAGCGACTGGAGGCTCGTCTAGCCGGGGAGCGACTCGTTTGCGTTTCTGGCGCCTGAGAAAGAGTATCAACAGGGCGATCAGAAGACATCCTCCTAATGCTCCGCCGACTCCGGCGCCGATTGTAGTTGCCTTGTTGTCGCTTTGGTTCGAGGCGTCGGCTGGCGGGCTCTGGGAGTTTTGAGTTACAGACCCAGTACCAGTGCGTGATGGAGTTGGCAAAGGCGTGGTACTCGCACTCGAAATAGCGGATGAACTCAGTGACAGCGACAAACTACTCTCAACCCCTGTATACGGGCCTACAGTAGCACTCGTCAAGGTAAACACCGCCGTATCCGTTTGACAGCACCTCTTGCCCTCTGCCTCAGATTCACAGCAGTACTCTGCCTCCCTCCCGTATCCCTGCGATCCACACTGCCACACCTTGACGCCATCAGCGCGAAAGTCATAGGCGCTAGAATTATTCGGCGTATCTTGATTGAGCTGACAGTTCTGTGGGCAGAGTGGGCTAGACCAGCTCCTATCCGTACAGGTGCCGCGTGCGTACTCCTGGCCGCTATCGCTCTCTGCACCACCCATAATGCAAAGGCCGTTTGTGAGACAGGCTGCGCGCGACCAGCAGCATCCTGTTACTTCCGCGTTGGGGTCGCATGGGACGTCGTGGGGTTGTGTGTCGCCGTTGGGTAAGTAGCAGATATTCTGGGGTGAAGCGAAGCGGAGTAGGAAAAACGCGAGAAAGAGAGTATGGTGATGCATGATGAAGAGATACAGGGAGCAAAAAAAAAGGGAGTACGAGGGTAACAAGAAGCATATACCTGTGAGGGTCGTTACGGCCCCCATATACTCAGCGTGAGCTGCATGCTAAGCGCCCGAAGTCTGACAACACAGCTACGAGCCAGAAAACCTTTTTGGACAACCAAAATAGTGCCGCAAGATGGGGCAGAAGCTGATTCAGCGTAGAATCACTATCCAATCATTTATATTCGGGTATAATTTACCAACGCCGCCCCCATTCCTCCATTCCCTAAATCTACGCAGCCTGCTTCTGGCCGGTGACAGGGCATACAGCCCCATCCGCCGCACCCTCTACACTTGGGTGCGTAGCCACCTTGTCCTTGTGGTGTCCAACTGTCGCCTTTGTGACTGGGCAGATGTCGCCGGCGTTCGCCTTGAGCATGTCTGGGTGGTCGGGAGGAAGTACGGTTGTAGCTGTGCCTACGATCGGGCAGAGAGCATCGTCCATCTCTTGGGCCTTGGTCGTCTTTACGTTCTTCTTGAGCGCTGGGCACGATGTAGCCTCGGTGCCTTGTGTGGGGACGGGAGGGTGTGCGGAGAGGTTGTGGTGGTGGTCGCTGGTTGCGCCTACGACCGGGCACTATGGTTTGTATGTTAGCGATGTGCAACGATGTCCAGTGTATCCTTGAGTACGTACAACCTGACCATCCTTCGCTAGGTCGATAGAGGGGTGGTTTGGGGGAAGCACATCGTTTGTGGTACCGATCACGGGGCAAGACATGTTGATGGAAGTGTTGTTGTTGGTGTTGTATTACAAAAGTTCGATGTAAAAGTTGTAAGAGTTGTAGATCAGCAAGAAGTGAAGAGGGGTATCAAAGCGGTGTATATGGGCTTGCTAACAAGCGCCAAACTCTTGCTGCACCTTGTATGGCCGCCTCGAAGCTACCCCAGATTTGCAGGGATCGCGTCGCTAGCGCCTTTGTCATGGCCATCACGTGGCTGCTGATTGGATGGATAGCTCGAACTTGAGCTCCACAACGCGCGCCTTCCGAAGCTTCGAATAACAGCTAACCTTCTGCCTTGTTTCTGCTTCCGGACTATCGCGTTACCAATGAGTGTATCGTATGTCGGAGTCTGGAACTCATTGCTTTTGACGCTGGACGACATCATTCATACCTATCTTATGATGTTAGTTGGAGATCGACTTAGGGTGCCCGCGATAAACCGTACCTAAGCACCAAACTTAGAAGCTCAACAAACAACAGGATTACCCCGACTGCGACGTTCACATGATGATAGATAATTCATGGTCCGTTCGCAAGAGCTTCAAACCTGAGTATGTTAAGCTGTATACATATTCAACCAACGATACTGGATATGTCTATCTAGACAGTAAGAGCGGGCCCAGCCAAAACGAGGGCCTTTGTATATGCGCTCGTCATCTCGATGCGCGCCTTTACTTCCGCCATATCTTTATCGTCCAGCTCAACCAGGGTCCCGCGAACACGTCCCCTCCAGCATCCCCATCGGCGAACCAACTCGACTTGGATACCGCGCTCCGGATTCCGCTGAACGAGGAAGCTCTTCATCATCCACTTGCTTACTTCCTCTAGCACATCTAGATCGGCCTCTTTGCCGCCTCGAGATGGTCGCATGTATATGCCATCGATATACACCTCCTCCAACTTGGTACAGCCGAGAATTGTCTCCAGCTTGAATCGGTCGATGACTGTAGCCAGAGGAAGTGCCTTGCGTTCCCAGTCGGTCTCCGCACTGCTGAAAGTCACCTTATCGACATGGAAAGTCATATCCAGCTTGCGCAATTTCTTGCAAGCGACAGCTAACTCAAAGCTGGGGTTGGTGAGGGCTGGTGTGATGCGTTGGTTGTTGAACCAATGCATGTGCGGGAAGTTGAGGTGCTTCACCGCGTTCTCGCCGCCGCCACCCGGAATGGCCTTGAGGAACTTGGTAAACCAAGTCGCGATTTTGAAGTTAGTGTTTCGGAACATGTACTTCAAGTCAAATCGCTTGGTCCTCTGCAGCATCAGGACGAGAACTTCCTCATGCATCTTGTGGCTCACGAAAGCGAGGTTTGGTAGCCAACCCTTTGGGCAACGGCCCGTGCTCGCGTCCGGAAACACTTTGGGATCCTGGTTGTCGCAAGCGATGAGCACGTTGGGATACTCCCACTTGCAGCACGGATTGCTGAATTCGTCATAGTGCTGATGCTCGCTTAGGCGACCAGCATCACACTCCATCAAAGCATACTCGTGCATGATGGACTCGCGGAGCTCTCCAGGTAAGTCGAGGAACTTCTGGAACCAGTCCGGACAGATGTAGGTTGTGTATTCAACCACCTCGGAAAACTCGCGGAATGCGGCGATTTCCGGTTCATTCCAGTTGTCGAAGTCGTTGGTATACTCCAAATACGAGCTGCAAGTGATGCAGAGTTCGTAAAAGATGTAGTCCCGAACTTCCTTGAGTCCGTCCATGAACCAATCCATGTGGGTGATGGCTGTGGGGAATGTGCGCCATTCCTCAAGTCCATGTATGTACGCAGTCTCGTCCACGCAATACATACACTGACATGGGCATTCCCAGTCATCCCAGTAATCTTCATCCGAGTCATCCAAATCTCTCGCTCTGTTGTAGCAATGGTCATCGCGGCTGCCCCACGCACTCCAGAAACAGGCTCTGTCGTATGAATGAACGAGATCGAAGAAGATGACATCTTCGATAGGAGTGTATCCCATGTGACGGTACACGGTCAATAGGGAGTCCGGCAGGGGTGGATAGGAGAGCATGTCTAGCGGCGGAGGGTCGTAGGCATGCTTTATACATTGCATACCAGCTCTTGCCAATTTGGAGAATTCGCCATCGGCCAATGTTCTCTGCTGATACACCGTGCATATACTGATCATGTCTTGGAGCACATTGTTCTCTGTGGTAGAAGGATCGTTCCAGTCTTCCACGGAGTCGTGCTCGTTACTGTATTCGATATAGCCTTGGGCAGTCAACGTAAGATTATGAAATGCCTCAAGCAAGACGGGATCCGGATCCTCGGTGGAGTGTTCAGGAGTGAAGCGCTTCTCAACTGTTTTTACGAAGGACGCGTAGGACTTTTGGATGTCTTCCTAGTAATCATAAGTATCGCCAGCGGTGGCAATGAGTTCAAGATACTTACCGACACAGGGTATTCAATCAGTTTAACCATGATTGCTCTGGATATACTAGGTATACGGACTCTTCGAAAGGTTCAGGGGTTTCAAGTTGAGTGGAGTGATCCGTTGGAGAATGGCAATGTCCCTAAAGAGCTGGGCCTGATATAGCACAAGGGAAGAGTGCTAGGCAGAAGGAGGCCCTCTAGCAGGAGCAGGGGCTTTTTGCATTCACTGCATCGTATATTAGTCTGTGCATTCTTGCCCCTTCGCAGGAAAGGCACGAAGACCGTGGTTCTCCAGTGCGGGTGCAAAAGCACTCAGGGATGTGCTGCGAATCCGCCTCGACCAGTTTGATATTGACCAACCAAGTAGATGGCTTGCATCGTAGCCGCACACAAACAATTGCTTGAAACATGACACATCAAGTCATAGTTCGATCAGCGTGCTTCGGAAGTTGTCGCAACACAGATCGCCGGAGTTTGTTAGGTCAATAGCCCAGCGAGTGAACAGAGGTCAAATTACCACGCAAAGCAAGCACATCTGTTCCTGGCTATGCCTTAAGTTCGAGCGTTTTAATACGGGTGTACCAAGATATCACTATTCCGTCACTCCAAAAGACTGCAAAGACTGCAGGTACTACAATAATGAAGGTCGTAAGTATAGACATTACTTCATCATCATACTAGCCTACTCAATTACGATCTCGCCCTCTTGCCTCAGATCACGGCTGCTTGCTCCAATCCAAACCGCATATCGGCCCCTCTGGAGCTCCCAAGCCTGTGCAGTAACATTCCAAACACTCAGATCGCGTCGGTCCAAAGTGAATTTAACCTCTCGGCTCTCGCCAGGTTGCAACAAGCCCACGCGTTCGAAGCCTCTGAGCTGCTTCGCCGGCGCATTTGGTACGCCCAGGTATAGCTGTGCTACTTCATGCCCAGCGACTTTGCCAGTGTTGGTAATGGTGACTGTGGCACGGTACAAGACCTGCCATAGCCAAGGGTGACCTCCCTGTACAATCGGCACAGACGTCGAAGGGAAAGCAGCGAGACTTGCGTTCGCAACAGGCTCGACCGTCATGTTCGCGTAGCCGAATGTGGTGTACGAAAGACCGTAACCGAATTCATACTGTGGTGTGATGTTTTGCGCGTCAAAAGCGCGGTAGTCGATGTACAAGCCCTCGGTGAAGTCCGATTGCAAGAACGCCGGGATGGAAGGGTCAAGAGTCGAATTGAGAAGGTGGCCGTAATCGGACTCTTGCTTTGCGACAGTGTACGGCAAACGTCCGGATGGGTTCACATCGCCGTAAAGAACGTCGGCGATAGCGTTACCGCTTTCCTGGCCCGGAACACCCGCGAAAAGGACGGCGGTGACGTTGGGGTGATCAATCCATGCGTCAACGGTGCGGATGCCGGCGGAGTGCAGTACAACGACCGTGTTTGAGCAGTTGGTTGCAACGTTGTTGACAAGCTGGTCGCTGAACTCATCTGTAAGAGAAGTGCGATCGAAGCTCTCCGAAGCGTATGCGTTGATGAAGACGAGGCATGCGTCAGCATTTGCGTACACGGTCGGGTTCACGCCAAAGAAGTCCCATCGTACAGTTCCGCGATCCGCAATTACGCGATTCTGAATGGCGTTGAAAGGGCTGATAACGTAAGGGGGAGTGCTGGAGCCTGATCCACCTGCGGTGATGAGGGTGCCGTTGAGCGTGTTCCAGCCGAAATTCTCTTCATAGCCACCACCGAATCGGGATGGATTGTTCCATGGCTGAGACTTTACTTCAGCATCGTAGCCGTAGATGTTCAAGAAGCGGGGGTGTTGAAGTGGTAGAGTGTTGTTGACATTCTTGACCAGCACGGTTCCCGCGGCTCCGATCTCTCGGATGAGCGACGCGTGGTCTTCGCGCACATCGACGATTTCGTGTTCGACGTTGTATGGGTAGACGGCGTTTTCGGGGAAACCCTCATCTTGGTTGAGATAGAACCAGGCTGCGAGTAGTCTTGTGTTCATGTCATCGAGCCTCTCTGTGGTGACTGATCCGTTGTTCACCGCATCGGTAAGGTTCTCGCCCCAGAATTTGGCAACAGGCATCACTACGTCAAGACCAGCATTCGCTGAGGCGACACCGGCGTGTTGCGCATCCCAGTCAGATACCACGAAACCCTCGAAACCTAGCTCTTCCTTCAAGATTCCGTTCATAAGCTTGCTGTTCTGACATCCGTATGAGTTGTTGATTCGCTGGTATGAGCACATCAGCGAACCGGCTCCTTCACGCAGGGCATCCATGAATGGCCAGGCATAGAGCTCGTGCAGTGTACGGTCGTCCACATTGGAAGAGACGGCCTCGCCTTCATCACCGGGACGTCGTCTGTACTCCTGTTCTTGCGCAAGCCAGTGCTAATGATGCGATCAGCCTTGACTTTCCATGGTCCGTACGATGTCACCTACCTTTGGTGTAGCGATCACACCCTCTTTTTGAGTGCCTCTAGTGATGAGACCACCGCCAATACCAGCAAGATACGGGTCAGCACCAAGACCTTCCCAGTTCCGACCTCCCCGCGCAACTCTTCCAATAGGGCCGATGAATGGGCCGAGGGCAACGTGAATGCCTTTTCCTCTGTACTCTCTACCGAGAGCATGGCCATATCTGAGCATGAGATCTCGATCGAACGTAGCTCCAAGATGAATGCCAGCAGGGAATGACGAGACAAACTCTTGCCCTCGCACGCCGGCAGGTGCATCCGCGAAACATAGCTCTGGGATCTGAAGACGAGGTACAGCTCCCGTTTGGCCTACGCAAGGGCCGGAGACGCCATGTGTGAGATTCGACTTCTCCTCTAGCGTCAACTGTGCCACGAGGTCTCTCGCTCGAGCATATGCGGATGCCCAAGAAGACGAGGTTGTTCCATTGCCGACAGCTGTTTATCGTTAGTCCTTTGACCTTCAAATATGACCAACACTCACGGGTCGGATACACTGGCGGACTAAGTCCATAGAGTGGAACCTCCGACTCGTTGGTGTATCCTTGTGAGACCGCTAGATTTGGCAGTAGAGCAAAGCTCACCGCAACTGCGCTGGAGTATCTCATCTTGCGAAACTTCCGTGTGCAACAAGATGATCGCAGCCGTTGGCATCACGGGTAGCTAAATACCCCCGAAAATTTTGCATGCATCTCGCGATCTACCCACGTCATTCGGGATTCCACCGGGTTGCCATATCGGCCTCGTGACGAGCCATCTGCAATGCTACCGTTCTCCCCAACCGTTCTCCGCATTTTGCCTTGGCGGAGAGGGGAGAGCGGATACAAGTGTCGATGGTTGCTGGATGGAGGATGGTCGGCACGACTGGCTGTTGCCGACAGGCTAGCTTCGGCGGCGATTGCTTCTTCGCATCGCCCCACTCTGTATACCTTGAAAGCACAACATCTCCATCTCAGAGTTCTTGCTTGCTGCAGTACTGCAATCCAACATTATGTTCACTTGTAACGGAGCCGACCTTGATCAATAAGAGAAAAGATTGTCTTTTACAGAGCCGGCTTCCAAGGTTTCAAACGAACTCACCTGCTCATCGAGCCACAAGCATGGACCAAATCCACGATCGGAGTGTCGCGATGCTTGGCCTGACCATGATGCTTCTACGTTAGCACCGCTAAGACCTCGTCATCCTTTCCCAGGCTTTCGCTGTCGGAAGTCGGATCATGAAGTAGCCCCGGAAAACAATCGCCCGAACCCCGGAGCGATTTAGCGCGTCGTGCTTAGGCCGTGCAGATATTCCAAGGTTGCGACCTCAGCCAAATGTTGGCGGCATCATAGCGGCACGGTCGTTACTTATGGAGCAGCCTGGCTATATGATGACGGAACCTTCCGGAAAGCGTTGATGGCGTTGCTACAGTTCCCGGGTCTGACGCCCGTTTCAGCCTGACAACGGCGACGCCTTGGTGCCTCAGGTTCTGTCTCAAGACCGCCAACACGTGGAGAAACATGCATCACCCCAGCCGTTCCTCATTATCGGGACGTCACAACTGTCAATGCGCGTGGATGCATCTCTCTTATGGCGGATCACAACATTCCGTGGGAAATCCTCGGGTTTGCTGGCCAATTGCTGAGCTGCGATGGCATGAACGCTTGAACAATGAGCTGTGAGGCGAGAAGCCAGGGTACAGAGAGAGACCAGTGCTCCAGAAGATTCTTCTGCCTTATGCTCAGGTACGGATCGGAACCAGAGCTCCGCGTGGAAAGAATGGTGGCGCGTTGACATCGCAGGTCTTGAATCAGGTCTGCCTGCACGCTCAGGCACAACCAGCCACCCTGCACCACGAATGTTTCCACCCCCACTCGAGCTGCACAAGGCATCACATCAAGGTACCCGGCTCCTGAGGCTCCGAACTTTATTGATCATGTGGCGTTTGCCTCAATAGCGATACTGCATCCGCTCGTGGAAACGGTTTTTCTTTTCGTGCCTACCACTCACTCGTTTAGACACCACTTGCTTTCAACTTAGCGCTCTGAGAGCAGCTGCCAGCTGGACTGTGCTTATACTTTACATTCATTTCATCTTGTATTTTTTCATCATCTTCTTGTACGAGAATGGGATATGGCAAATCGATATTGCTGTCAGTAAGGGTCCTAGCCCTGATCGTGGCAATGGGAGTGCTAGGACTAGGTGCTTGGTGTAAGTGTTCATCTCTCAATCAAGAACATGGAAAAATGGTGCTAATCATTTCAATTAGCCCAGTTCATCATTCGCGATATGAAGAGTCGTGGTACCGGGATCATGGACGCGCTTCAACCAGAGGCTCAAATGGCGGAGTATTGGAAAGAATACTTTGCTACGGTCTACAGAGGCGCCATCAAGATCTGGATCTCAGTCGCGGCAGTACGTTGAGCAGTCATTGATCAATACCGTTGTACTGACATGCAGGCAGGCCGGCTTTGCTTCGCTCGCAGGCACTGTGATCGTCTTGACAGCCATCATCCAACGCTTGCGCATACCCTCAGCGATCCTCATCCCCATCGAATGCCTGTGCATGTGCGCCATGGGAGCCGCTCTCGGTGTTTCTCTCAGCTTCAACATGAGTCTCGAGACCTTTAGCGAAACGCGTCTCGACACGGCGGAGAACCCGAACCTCATGATGTTCGCGATCCTGGTCGATCTTAGCCGTGGCTACACCATCGCAGCCGGAGCGGGATGGTTCCTTTTCTTGATCACTTTCATTACCGCAACGATCGATGCGTGTGGTCGCGCCCGAGAAAAGGAGAGCTGTTCATTCGAACCTACTGCATCGGCACTCGGCATGGGTTTCCACGGATACGACGCTGTCGTCCCACCTCCTTCACGCAGTCGCGTCCCTACGATGTACGACCCACGCGTGCCATCAATTCTGATCGACCCGAATGCGCGCGGAAGAGCTTCAGTGGCCAAAGATGTCGAGATGGGACGCGCAGACTCTGTTCTCAGCCACGAGGGCAGGATTTCGCAAGAGTTTGAGAAGGAGATTTCCGGGCCACTGAGTTTGGAGAGACCACAAAAGGTGCAGCAGATGCGACCTTCACGACCATGGAGCGAAGTACATAGGGCACCGAAGGTGGATGAAGTGATACACGCCATTTAGACATTACAGGCTCATGACCACAGTAGATAGATTAGTCAAGTCGACACTCGCTTACATAGAAGAATGAAGTATACAAGAGAAAAGAGCGTCATAACGAGAACTACCTTGGGAGAAGTTAGCCAGGGAAAGATCATCCAAGCTCGATGGCAGGAGCTACGTGTCGGCCAGACAGTACCCGGGCGCGTCGACAAGTCACATGACCGCGTCTCTAGCGCGTTTCCTTAGCGCGACACGCCCGCCCCTGCGTCATCGCCGCGAGGAGTACCATCCGAACTTCCGACTGCCATTCTTGCATCTTTCACGTCCCAATCCATCCCTCCCAACACACAATGGCAGGCTTCACAAAACGCGGCGGCGCCCGAGGCGGCAGCAACTACAAAAAGACCTTCACAAAGAAACGTTCCTCACCTGACGCCGACGACGACAACGCGGCGCGCGCAAGCAAGAAGACCAAGTCGGGAGACGACGATGAGGAGTCGGTACCAGTGGTGCCTGAGCTAAAGACAGACGATAACGGCGATGCATATGTTGGTGTAAGTAGCCACAAGATGAGAAGCAGCGAACAAGGAGCAGAAGAGTGCTGACGAGACTCCAGCTCAACGCCAGCGGCAAGCGACGCGTAACAGTTAGCGATTTCAACAAGAGTACTCTCGTTAGTATACGGGAATACTACGTTACTGATTCTGGAGAGACGAGGCCGGGGAAGAAGGTGTGTACATTCTATTTCTCCTGTATGCTCCTTTAGATGGTTGGGTTGCTAACACGGGTTTCTCATACAGGGCATCTCGCTTACAGTCGATCAATACAACGCTTTACTCGCATCGGCACCGCTTATCGAATCAGCGCTCGCGAAGAAGGATATACAGGTCGTGCGGCCGGATTACGAGGCTGATCTGAATGCGAAAACCGAGGACAAGATGGAGGCAACTGAGGACGAGGATGAGGAAAAAGAAGATGAGACCGCGAAAAAGGCAGACGAGGAAGGGGATGACGACGACGAGTAATAATCCGACGTCTCAAGCAGCAATTCCTGGACTAGTATCCAGATGTACAATAAGGGACAAGTTAGAGTTCTGGGTGATGATGATCAGACTTTATCACGGCAATGGGCGAACAAGTGAAGGCGATCGTTTCATTACGCTCATGGAAGAGCTCGCGTATCGACTAAAATTATAAACAAGAACAAGTATGTAAACAGCAATGTGACTCCACCGAGTTAACCAAACAAACGCCAGACCCAGAGACCCAAATGCGTACATCCGCCGATTCCTATCCAAACACCCGATAACCAACGCCGAAAGGATATCTCAAAGCTCGTCATACCGTTCGTTCCTCGTGAACCTGCGTCCCAACAACATCAATGCCATCCAAACTTCGTCCTGCCGTAACACGTACACATAAGCCATCAATCATGCATTGCGACTTCGAAGAACACGTCATGGTCAAGCTCGACATATCAAGCGGTGATGCCAACTCTAGAACCCTCAGAGGGCGAGTCGAAGCTTCAAACCGGGAGTTACGGAGCGAGACGCAGGAGCGTGTTCGTATCAGCAGTCGTCAATAGATTTCGTAGATGTGGATCTAGCCGACAGTGCTTGCCTCTTCCTCAGCCGCGCGCCGGAAGTAATCGGCGTCCATTTCGGACTCGTTGAAGGCAGCAGTAGGCAGATCAGTACCAACACCCGAGTCGCTGGGTGGGGCATAGTTCTCCTTCATCTCTTCCTTCACGGCGTCAACAGCACGGACGATTTCTGACTGTGTTGGCAGCTCCACGTCGTTCTCGGTAGTGGCGGTCGAGATTTCGGAGCCAGTGACGTCGGATGGGTTGATAGTAGCAGTGGGCTCATCGTCTTCTTCGTCTTCGGAGTAAACAGAGCCCTCCTCGTCGATGCGCTCTTCACCGGGCGCAGCAGAGCGAGCTGACTGAGCACCATACGAGGTGCGGCGGTCGATGTCGCTACCGGTCATGTACGAGGAACCGGAGGCGTATGTGTACTCGCTGCCTGTGCCGCCAAAGCTGGAGCGACCGTCATAGCCTGGCGTC